AAGTAATAAAAGTTTATATGTTTTTGGCGACACCCACACGTGGCAAGGAACTGCACTGGCTTTTCTACAAACTTCATTTTAGACCATTGAAATGGACAACTTGGCCCTTGGAGTGGGACACTTGGTAAAGCGTACATGCTAACTACTGTAGCACATCTTTGTACAAACATACATTAAACGCTAGATGCTCATAATTTTGCTGATAGTATGTATACTTTTGCAAATCTGCTACTTCAGCTTTTACCATCAATGCACTCCTCAAGATCTTCATTCGCGAGGGGGTACCCTCTGTTTTGATAACAGACATTGCTAGCCATTTCAGTGCAAATACTTGGCTGAGTGGCTTAAATTAGTGGGTTGCCGTTAACTGTACATTACTCCCAGGCACCTACAATCCAGCTGCTTTGCAGAAAGCGTACTTGTTCCTAAACGTGCTGCAGCTTCCCTCAAACTAACAACTTTGTTAAGCATGAGTGTTGCTTTAACAACCACGTCATTTGATAGAAGAATGCTGCTAATTTAACCATCAGAGACAACCCTGTAAAGTGAAACCTGTGCTAGGAAGAAGCTGCTGAGCCACGAATCTACCCGAGTATGTTTACTACTGTAACAATGACATCCAACTATCACGTGTACTAACCCTTACCCACCTTCATTCCCGTATGCATCAAATAATTGGCTTGACTGATGTTTCTGTTCATGTAAGGCATTGTGATCAATTTGCATGTGATTCTACTGATAATCCTGAGATTCTTAATGGATCTAACAGCTCTTTCTTTGATTTCATTTTAGAGCAGACTTCAACGGACTAACGGACTCCTGAAGTGTCGCCACAGCAAATAAGGAGTTTTAGCGGTTAAAATAGGAAAAGCACCGTCAGTACGACAACCAAGAAGTTATGTGAATTGTCGCATGTGACGATTGTCCCTGAACAACAATATGAACTTACAGCTTTACACTGCGTTTGCACTTAGTGTAGTTCCAGTTTCGTTGAATGCGGTAAATATGTGCTCTCACGGTATGTTATAAACCTAGCAGTGCAGTCGGATTCTCAGGAGTCCGTTGACAGTCCGTCTCGGACCATGTCGTAATATGGGTAAGTTGCAATTTTTCACTACACTGAAGTAATGCAGGGGAACAAATCGACGGCCAAATGACGGTTCCCGTTTCTCCGGATGCTGTTTTGAGGGATAATCAAGATATCCGTTCGTGACGTCAGGCAGGATATCATGTCGGTCAGTCGCCATTTGAAGTCTTGGATATTGAGATGATCTTCTGCTTTCCTCTGGATTATATGCTATGTTTCGTCACGAATTTACCAAACGTTTGGCTACGCTGTGGCGGTGCGGGTCAGTAAGCTGGAAATAAGAGTAATATCAAAATGACTTCGCAGTTGTATGATCGTCCATGCGTGCCAAAGCCCTGGCTTTTGAATTGCCCTCTCGATGCCGAAATTTCGTTGATGTGGAAAAGTGGAAGGCAACTAAATTTCGTAATTTTTTCACTGTTTGGGGCCAGTTGTGCTGAACGGCATTTTATCAGAATTTTTATACCAGGTTTTCATTAACTGGTCCATTGTTAGTTATGTCCCTTTTACAAAGATTGGTGCCATTATTGTCTACCTCTTTCTGAGAATATATCGCCCAAACTTGTTGAGCAAATTACTGCATTGTGCGGCGAGCAGAAGCTGTTTTACAACATACATAACGTATTGCACTGGTGCATCGACGTTCAAATTTGGGGCCATTGGACAATTAGTCTTCGTTCCCGTTTGAGAGCTACCTCAGAATAATGTAGATGTTGATGCGTGGCTCCCACCTATCCAATTCACAGCTATTTTGCAGGATATTGGAACGGGCATGGAAACGAAACAAATTGCTGACATACATGGATGATTGGGGATCTGTGTAAGTGAGGACACTTCATTCATCACGCACAGTGGTGCTCGCATAACGACGTAATTTCCAAACAACGTACTAATCGTACGCCAATCGCCAGCTCGAGTGCTGCTCATTAGGCAGTCTGATGTTCTGGTGCATTAATTTATGCATTGCGATACATTGTTTAACAAATACATTCCACCAAACGAGTTACATATCTGCAAATGCTGCGAAAAGTCTGTTGCTTCTAAATGGGTTCCAACAAGCAGTATCAGGTGCAAATGCATCCCGCTACCATTTGGTTTGTGCACAATATTTACCTTATAATACATAATTGGTATTGTAGTTTCCACCTCTTCTTATATACCAATACTTTTATGCCACCAGTTTAACAGTTGTTCATTTTACAGAAGTACCGTGTCATTGATTTGATGAGTCCACCGTCGATATGGCTCATTCTTCATGTAGCCAAAATTATCCTCGCGCCGGTTGGAGGACTTACTTATACGGTACGCACTATCCCCAGGAAACTCCATTAAGTACCGTGTGCGGAAGTATACATCAATCGGTAAGTCTGTACAAATAATGCACTAACTTAGATACATGAGTACGCGCTAGCGACAACGTTAGAGCGTGACCTCATGGAATTTTCCGAGTTGACGTCAAGTGACGCCACAAACTCCATGGAATGATGGGAAAAGCGAAAATGTAAGAACCTTTGCGTATACATTTGCATTTGCAGATGACAGAAATTAAATTCGGACTTTAACACTCCATTGAATTCGGCGCGTAAACCAAACACGAAGTGCTCAGCTGAAATAAACTATTCACCACGGCCCAGTCCTTTGGACATGGACGAAACTTTGCGGGCTCCCCGAATAAAGAGAACGTGCAGCCAGCTATCCACTTCTTGCATTCTAAGGGTTTTCAGTCCCATTATCCAACTTGCATGCGTGGAGCCGTCTGGTGAACTATCAACTGATATCAAGGAGCGTATTTCGTACACGCGAGGTAACTACCACTCATGGACGTCCTTTTTTCAAAAAGCGAAATCAGTAATTTAACAAGCGAATTACTTTGCATGAGGGAATGCTTCATCGAAATGAAACCTACAAATGACGCATGGAGCTAAGCGCTTCAAGCGAAGACAACAACGAAAACCCGTCCCGTAACACTACCCATAAACACAGTGGATTCGTTAATCAACATCAACAAGCAATTACATGAGCCTGATGTTACGAGGAAAATAGTGGGAGTCTAGTAGCAATCTATTCAATGCATCCAGGTCAACTATTTAGCAAACATTGCTGTCAATTCGCTGTCAAACACAACGACAAACACTATGGTTGTCACCATGACGAACATCCTGGCCAGGCAATTAATCTGGCGTGGGGTATATGATAGATATCGCATTGCCATTTCCCCCTTCGCACGCGCCGTTGTCGGTTCGTGGAAAATATTCGCCTACTGGAAAATAGTACGGACGCCATAATGCGAAATTCCTCCCTTCTTTCTACGGACGCGTTGATCAAGCACCGGACCAAACATGCAGCGGAGAGGGAAGGTGCGGATGGCATACAACGGGACGCAACTAATACTTCTCAGCCGGATATGTAATTTTCCCGCGATTAAATTAAAGCATTGATTACTTAACTTATGAATATTATCACGGGTGTGGCTGTGACTAAGTGCGACATTGATGTTTTTTGCACCGCATTTGGGGTCAGGACCGTAGGTATTCTAGGGCAATGAGTTGGGAAAACATAAAAGTGAACAAAGGAGAAGTGCTGCTGAACATGCTTCCGACAAGCCATTGACAGTCCGAAACGTGGTCCGTTCGGACTTAATCCGGACTGTCGGCGGGCTTTCGTGCTAGTAGGTTAAGTTCTGCATCGTTGTTAGCTATAGGCGTGAGCCTGGTTTGCTTGTTTCTGAGAACACTGAAGAAATGTATTACCCATTGAATGCATCCGTAGTTAAGAGTGATGTTAATAGTTGACAGACTGCTTCACAGGGTCAAAGGTCAGCCATCCAGATGAACAACCCGGCCGATGGAGTGCAAAGCACGGCGGCGTATGCACATTAACTACTTCGTTACGTTTCTTCAAAAGTAGTATGCTGTGCTAATAATTGACTCTTATTCGAAGCGGCATGAAGCTTTTCGGACTGGCAGGCAAAAAGCCAAGTACAATTTTTTCGCACTAAGGAGAATGATAGGTCGTGATGACGAACGTTAGGCTGTCCTGAGTGCTAGGGATTCATATCCCACTACATCACGTGGTACCGATTGGTTACAGATCCCGTTATGTTTTCACCTGTTTATTGTCCCCAGGCATCTTTACTACAACGGTCTCTTAAAATTCGGTAGTGCATTCAAACCTGCAATTACTTTATGTGCTTTAACGAGATTCGCCCAACTGGGTCGATCCATCGGGAATATGATGAGATTCTTACCGTGTTCTTCCTACCACCCAGAATTTGTCTTCTTAGATGGTCAAAGCGCGATTAACTTGTCGTAACATACTCAGGTGTGGCCACGTCGTCATCTGACTTCAGGGGTATCGATTTTTCAATCACTTCTGAAGTGGTTATGAATAACCTCGAAAGACGTATCGTATGGATAATGAATCTGGACAATTTATCTGTGTGCAACTGCCATGTGAAGCAGGTAAATATAGGAGACCTAGTTCAATCGAAACAAAGATCCAACCTTTTGATGGCAACTTTATATGACCTGTTTCAGCTCCTGCGGCAGAGACAGATAATAAGAATAGGCCACAAAGGTAGTAGCAACCACAAGAAAAACACCTAAGCAATTACAGAAATCTAGCTTTACCTTTGAGCTGCAGTAGACGCAGTGGTCCTACATACTGTGCTAGTTGACGTTGCTTATCTTGTGTTGTCTGTGACAAGGAATGATAGAGAAAGCTAGTTTCGAAATCAAATTGAGTTGTGCCTTTGCCTGAAGCCATGCCTTCTTCCAAATTCCATAGTTCTACAGATAGCCAATAAGAAAAGAAGCATTGAGCTTTGCTGATACCGTGTTTATTTGGTATTGTATATATACAAGTTCACCGGTCACTTCATCAAATTCAGATGGGGCCGCTATCTTGTGGGTTGTCATGATCTATCCTAGAGGGACAAAGTTTGGAAAAATGCAAATAATGTGTGAGAGGAGTTGGGCTGACGAAGTGATTTCTGTTGAAAACTGTAACAAGTGAGAATGAGCTGTTCTTTCTAACAGTTTCATATATTTTGTAGATAAAGTGAGTTCCCAATCGAAGAAAATAGGTATACGTAAAATAAGGGATAGCAGCTTTCTTGGGTGACTTATATTACTTAACGCGGCTGATCTATTTTGCTGCTAGATACTAAGGAACACAAAAGACGGACACCCTTCAGAGTCGATTTAACAAGTTTAATCCGCTAAGAGCAATTTTGCCATCAATAGAGTAAGCCGTGTTACATGACTTCCTCGACTAAATGGTTCTGCAAGTGACCTGCTTGTCGACTGTACTATAGAACATGTCTAGCGGAGGGTTAATCGGATGTCTCTACTAGACTATCATGGTGTTCTGTCTAACAGAAATAAAGTGAGTAACTGAAACAAATAAGGCTATTAAACAGCTTCTACTTGACCTCAAACCTCAGAAGCACTGTGAAGTTTTGCAACCACATGAGAGTCAAAAAGTAAAACTTAACGGACAAAATTCAGTCGAAAATCAAGTCTGCACAAGGCTATGGAGTGAAGCAGACCCTTACAGACTTCGTACGGAATAGTTGGTAACACAATTTTAGGGAATTATTATCAGACCTCCACAGTTGCACTTCGTCACACAAACGTGTGTTCACACTCATTCGACCCAGATTCATCAGCGATGTCAAATGCACTCCAGCTTTCTCATCTAGCTTGTGTGGATCGCCGTTTATCTGCCCATTGCGTTTTTCGAACCATTCCTGAAAGAAACACAATCAAGGAATTTTCCGATTTAGGAAACACACAGCAATATTTGTGGTCTCAAACGAAAGCCGGATGCACCATTTATCCGACAAGCCAGCAACCACAGCTGCGGGCTGTTCATCAAAGTCGATATTGTACACTTTGTCTCCTTATCGCTCAGTTGCTCTGTTTGCCGTGTGAACGATCTGGCCACTTAAACCTGCACCGGCCACACGCACAGAAAGCGACGACCTTGAACATGCAGACAATTCGACTCACACACGGACCGCTGGAAACCTTAAGCACTCGGCCTTGATCGATGAAGCATCGATCGATGCAGAAGTTCGTGGGGGCCAAGCAAAAGCCAATTGCACCGCATGCGATCGACTGAAGTTTGTGGTCTTACTTCATGCCATAAAAATGTACGAATTGGAATCCAGTGTACCAGTTGCCACGCCAAGTTCGATAGCAACTTTTCCAAGCTTACAGTGAACCAGTTGAAGCTACACAATGGTAAACAAGATTCCCTGTGATTCAGTTCAGTATGTAAACTCATACCACTGGGAAAGATTGTACATAAACTATCGCAGAAGTACGAAAGACTTGTAGTATTCATTTAACAAATGTGGAACCCCAATATCGCTTCATTTGTAGAATGTGTGACAGACAGTAACTCCCAGTCATTTCATCCAGGCCCCGCATTAAAACTGTAGAAGAAGGCTAGGCAACACACTACAAAAACACCATCTTCAGCGTTAAACCTCACTAGCACCATTTACTCACAAATGCCTGAAAATATCATCACCAGTCCGATTGCAATAAAGGCGGTCAGGGCGTCGTCCACCCTGCAAACGGTTCCGCAAAGGCAGAAGGAATTCAACAACTGTAGTAGTTGGAACTTGGTTGCTAACAAACTTGACCAAAAGCCTAAACATTTGACCACTCCCACTAGACCCGTAGTAAATAACAAAGATGAATCTGTACCCACACTGCATCCATTAACTATACAACAATCGGATCTTTTAACCTCAACCCGCGTTGCGCGTAATGTATCCACTGTAATTTGCACCAACTTTCAAGAATAAAAGGTAAATTAGTGAAGGGAAAACCATTTGATGATGTGAACCAGTGGAACACAGTGTGATTTTTCTCTTCGAGTTTTTCAACGGTGGGACCCTCTTTCGTTTTCTGCGATTTCCGCGCCCACGCTACCCGTTTTAGAAAAACGAGTTGACGGTGCTTTACACCATTTACATTATTTGATCTGATTTCTATTCACTGAGTGACGACAAGACGCAGACAAACTTTGTGCTCATCAACCCCAGAAAATCGGGGTAGAAGGAAATACATTTGTAGTAAGTCGGAAAATATGGTAAGTCTATCTATCTGATGAGAGAAAATAACCTCGAAACGCGTCATGGAGTGCAGTGGTTTCAGGCGGGCAACACCCAATTTGCTGCTGCTTCATCGGCTACGGTCCTAGTGATCGAATGGCTAAGGTTCATTCACTTTAATGGGAATCGCGGTCCACTTTGGGATTGCGCGTCGCAATTCATCCACACAACGTGTACTTCAAATGGACTTTCCACTCTGTCAGTAACCGTTGTGCCAAGCTTTGCCCGTCGTGACCCGGTGGCTTAGGGGTAGCGGTCACAACTAACATCTCAATGGTCCCTGGTTCGATGCCTGCTATCTCTATCTGATGAGAGGAAATAACCTCGAAACGCGTCATGGAGTGCAGTGGTTTCAGGCGGGCAACACCCAATTTGCTGCTGCTTCATCAGCTACGGTCCTAGTGATCGAATGGCCAAGGTTCACTTTAATGGAAATAGCGGTCCACTTTGAGATTGCGCGTCGCAATCCATCCACACACCGTGTACTTCAAATTGACTTTCCAATCTGGTAAGTCTATAGATGTGTTTTTCACTTTGGTGTTACTTGATTGAACTAACGTTATTCCCACAAAACATTCTGCAGGACCTAGTAAACCTTGGCTATTTTATCCGTATTATGCTACTGTTCCACTGTTTCATTGACTGACTAAACGTCTTTTTATGCCTACTGTATGCTCAAAGAACATAAACCATTAGACAGAAAAAGCAGCATGGGTTCAGACACCTGCCGAAATATATCACATTTGCGAAGTAAACGCAAGTTTGCCACAGTATTTTTGACATATAATAGAAAGCCAACAAGAGCATATGCTCAGATAGCTGCTGAAAGTCTATTAAAGACGTATCACTTAGTTCTAGTGTTTGGCGCAGTGCCAATGGTCGTTACAGTAAAGTCCTATATTAAGTGAAATAATGAAGTTAACTATATAATGAACTACCGGGCCGTTCCGATTAGCCAAGTAAGTGCCTTAAAAGTTATTGTTTCCATGCAACTTGAAGCAGCGCCAGCTTTCAGGTAGCCATCTGTGCAGTCCAGCCGATAAATGTACAGGAAATTAGATAGTTTGCTTTGCATCACAGTTTCTTGTTTGGGGGCTGCCGTTTGCGATAATGTCGTATTTTCCTAGCTATTTCAGGTCAAAGTAGCATAGACGGCTTGTTTCGGCTTTCAAGGAACATCAGGTGGCTGTGTTGACATATTACTTTAGTGTAAAAATGAGGTTACACAAAGCATACTGCTTTTGCACTGGTTTTTGTTGTTAACTTACAGCTAATAGTTTCTGTACTGTACTCAGCTGCGCCTTTGTCAGCCGGCGCTCACAAACCTCCTCGAACCTTTTGCTTCCACTTAGCGCCACGAGAATTCTTCTTCCACTCATTCTAAGAAGTTAGAGGTGAATATACGATTTAGGTCGACTGAGTAACATCATGGGGCTTAGTTAATAAGCTATGTAAAGCTATTACAGATGCAGCTGAAAAGTAAAGTCAGCAAAAATCTTGTGCACGCTATATATTTGGTTCAACTTCAACGAAATCTATGAGCGCCAAGCATAGAGCCACTATTTGTACACTAATCGCAGACCGACGCTGGTTAGCTCAGGGACAATCCACCAGGATTCGTGTTTGAAACAATGACCTAGAAACGTACAGTATACCAGTTGAGATTGAAAACGACATGCAGCAAGAGAAGACCTCCTACTGATTTAATTAGCTTTAGCGCTACTCACTCATAAGCTAATTTCGATGACAAAGCATGACCCACTTTCTTAAATGAGTACTAAGGCATTTGTGGCTTTCTAGAACTTTTAGTTTAGACTGCATTCATCTTTATTTGTGTGCCGAAAAGAGAAGGCATTACACTACTCTTTGGATGCAACACCTGTGCAGAATTGGTTACATTTAATAGAATGCGACTAGAGACCTTGAAAATCAAATGGTGCCCAATGCAAACTGCAATAGACACTACTTTCGAGGTTCTTAATCCGGTGCAACAATTGATGATTAAATTGCTTAACAAAGAACATAACTTGTCGGTCGAATTGACCGAAGTTATCCTCGAGATCCGAAATGGAGTTCTGTATCCACTGCGGATCCCTTAAAATGCGATGATGACAAAAGATAGAAAACTATCTTCATGGTGTAACGATTTCTATACTTTTATTAAATAACACCTCCCGGTAGTGCTAATGGGAATCATTTGCTTTGTTCCTTATTTCAATTTTGGCTGTTTCTCTCTAAAAAGCTTACGCTAACCAATTTTTCAACGCTTGTGCTGTTCTTAGTGCTCATCGTCCATTTGCTCGTCAGCATTCGAAGAAGCCACTGCGACTGATCTCGAACAGCATATTTAGGTGTCCCACACGAACTAGCACTAGTGTGCATTTTATGTAGACCGATATCAAAAAGTTTTATTCCGGTGGACGGCGAGATACACTTTTGAAATGACTCGGAAAGTTTAAATATCGGCAACACTTCCAGAACTGGTTAAGCACTACCCCATCATTTTACGGACCAGCGCTTCCTGTCTTAGTTATAACCGACACATGTTTATTAGTCTACTTGATTTTTTGGGAAATGCTTCTCTATTTAAGTGGCAGTGCGGTGCTGCACTCTGCCACGCAATCCAAACATATCGTTCCTGTTTTTTAAGCCTGTAACCAAGAGAGGGAATACTGAATACTGTACTATAAGAGCAAGCAGAATGTAAGACTTGTTAAGCTTCGTCGAAATTTGATCAAATACATGAGTAAAAATACTCTCAGGCACATGTCAGTACTGCAATAGATTTTCGGTTCTAGCATTTTTAAAGTACATGAGACCCATAAATGTGAGATGTTATTGTCAAACTTTTGAAGTACATTACTGACTTTGATCGCACAGTCTGTTCTGGTGGGCTCTCAGAAGCAATGACTACCTTCTAGTTGAAGCCCAAGTGAGTAGGCAACTCGCTTCAGATCGGGCACTACAAGCTTTTGCTGATGTTTGCGCGCATTGTCTAATGTTTGCAGGCGATATGACATCCACAACATAAGGATTGTCAAGGGATTAAAAACCCGTTAGCTCCTGATCCGTTCGATTCGTACTAGGTGATAAGATAGGGTGTAAATTACGATTGTCTCGAACCAGTCCTTTACGATAAACTCCTTTAATTGGCGATAAGCAGGCTAACAACCTGTTGGATTCGTTTGACCTTTTGCATCTCGCTTCGGGTAATCGGACAGCGGATGTATGAGCCGCACTTTAGCATTTATCTTATGATGCCAAATAACAGGCGAGTGGGATACTCTTCGGACCAGGTACAGAGGTAACGTTTGAACACCCATGCACATAGACCCTTTTAGAGCAGCCTGCTCGTGCTAAACACGAAGTTCGAGTGACAGGAGTAGAGTAGTTCCAGGTCCTCTAATTGGTGGCTACATTCAGCGTATCACATAGGCATGGAGTTGAGCTGTTGCTTAAGCATGGCACAGTCATCTATGGTGCTAAACAATCACTGCATCCTCAGGTAGTTACCAAACCTGGCACATGATGACCGGAGAAGTTGAGATATATATTTACTATAGTTCAAGGACCAATTAGGTTTCTTCGCCGTGCGTTGCTGTTTGAGAAATGTTAGCAGCTCAGATGAACATCGCCTGAACCCTTCACTTGCGATCTCATACTTGCTGGCTGAATGGTGCAGTGTGCAACCATACCGCACACTCAACCAGTAAAGGGGATCTTATGGTTGTCGAACATTTTGCTGAACTCGGAGTAGACCACCTGGACAGGCTTCTCGTGGTATGTTGTCATCTACTATATATTCATACCTCGAAACCAACAAGTTTGTAAAGCATAATCGGCTTGGTATGAAACCGTGGTGTGGAGACCTTAGGATAAACTTTGGACCCGGATAGCTATGCCTGAATTTGCTTCGCGAACTCCTGAGCTGAATTACACAAAACGGGTGACTGACAGATAGTTGACGGAATCCGATTCGGGATTTGTCTGTCAACGCGGCTTCCAAAGGATAGCCACAGGAAACCTGCACCCGCTGAGCAACCATACGTAGCACGCGCTGCACCACTCAAAGCTGCATTCACACATACCATCTCCAATGTAAATCCGAAGAAACAAGATCGGGAGGCATGTGGACTGGAGGCACTTATTTTCAACGGAGTCGGTCCACCATCATCCAACATGCATAGCGGCAGCAGTCACGTCTATCTAATTTGGGCATTTTGTGTACCAGAGGAATGCAGGGCGTGGTTGAGTCTCAACCAGTTTCACACTAGGTTTGACTACTCTTTGAGTCCAGCGCAGTCCTGAGGTGGTGCACCGTATCTCCGCACTTAGCGCCCAACTGTCTCCTGAAGTCAGTAATCGAGGTGGAGGGTGTTAGACAAGTAGGCACCTTGTAAACATTCACATCAATCACAGCTTCACCGGGGATATCAGTCAACGGCCAACGCCTTAAATGCAAGTAACTCAACGTGTAGACACACGTATAGACCAGCTGCGGCAATGATATAGCACACGTAACACCGAATGGATTATTGGCATGGTTTAGTAAATCTCATCTGATGCGTTAATGATGAACACTTATTCATATGAATAATCCGCTCTTAGTTGTTGGACCCTCGTGGTTATACTACTGGCTTACCACGTCCGCTTGGCTCAGATACTCGCAACCACATTAGATAAAGCATCATGCCCTCGACGCCGGTCAACTATCCTAAATCGGCGCTTGTCCCTTTCTTACCTGGCGTCGCTTTGTTGCATGCAGCAGTAATTTCCCGTGTTCCTGGGCAACCGCCATTCGATTTGACGTCGCTATTTGCGACAACACACTGCCATCGTTTTCCAACGTCTGAACTCAACGTTAGTTAGTGGTAAACTTAGTTGATTATATCGTGACTACGTAACTTCGGTTGTCACACGTTCCGCTTATCTGCACTCAGTCAGCCAAAAAGCAGCCGTATCGGTATTAGGGGCGAATCCATGCGGTGCACATGCCGGAGTCACATTAATGTCCCAGGAGAGGTATGTTGTTTACTGCCAACAAGCCATCGTGACAGAGCAGCTCCATATTAGAACCTCGGTCACGCCAGCCCATGAGCTGAAAACGGTACAGGTACTGTCAGTGAACTCGCCGCAAATCATGTACTTCCTCCGATGAAGCGACTAGGTTTCAATGCAGTATAAAAGAAAGGACAGAACCCTCGACTTGTATGCCACAGGTTCATACTTATGGTCAGCTGATGATTAAGCCAAACCCGATTCTCCAGCCTTGCAAATACGGCAGCTGCCCCTCGACAAGCGGATACACAGTAAGTTTATAGTATATAGGTCGGTAGAGAGCACGCTCCCAAGGTAACAAAATATGAAGTACTATCCAAAACGCCAGCGCCGGTATGCATTTGAGGCAAAGCCACGTATTCCATTTCTGGAGTTGGCCGTAAAAGACAAAAGTCTTGCTTTTGTTAATGGTGAGCTTGACTTGACCGCTGTCGAAGCGCGAATCGTTTTTACACGCTGCAACTCATCCGTGCTGTGAATAAACAACGCACAGCCTTCGGCAAAACGTCACATAGGGATGGTTGCCTCACGCGTCGAGGTCCTTGCCCCGAAACGACCAGTGTTAAACGACCTAACATCATTACAGCGCCCCACACGAACACCGTAATTAGATGCAACATCAAAAGCACAAGACCTCATTAGATGAATGTAAATGCTAAGCAGGGCAGGGGCTAAGACACAACCTTGCTTCACATCAGGGATAACCACAAAGTCATCTGAGGTTGGTCTACAGAGCTGCACACTCACCCGCATAAGACTGCGCGAATATCCTATTAAACTTACAACGTCAATCGGACAACAAAACTTACCTGACAACTGCCACAGTGTCTAGGTGTCCACCGTGTCAAATACCGTTATGAATTCAACAGACAGCGAGTACAATGACTGGTGTCTCTCTTAACATTTCTCTTTTAACTGACGAGCCACGAACACCACATCTATGGTACTGCGACCCGATACGCACTTGCACTGCTTTTTCGCAACCTTCGGTCCAAGTACCTGAGCGACGAGGTGGTTGAGCAGGATTCGCACGATTAGTTTATCAACGCAGCTCAGCAAGTTGATACCATGATCATTCGTGGCACATTACTTTCTCCCTTTGTCGCTGTGCAGTGGTGGCACAAGGACATGCTTCCAGACAGCCGACACTTCCTGTTCAAGTTACACTAGTTTCACCAAATGGTGCAGCGCACCTATCAACGCAGGTCAGCGTGTTCCAACATTTCTGGCAGTATCCCGTCGGCTGCCGCACACTTGTCATTCCACACATGAGCAACCCCTCTCCACATCTCATGCTGTGTCGGTGCGTTGAATGGATACGCCTCTTGTTGTTGCAGCCCGTGCAACGCAGCCCAGTCAATCTCCGAAAGGTTCTCCAACGGACACCTCTAGTGCGTTCACCATATCCGCATTACATTTGTAGTTTGCGTGAAAGCAGCATCAGGAGTAGCATTCACCAGGGTGCATAACTGCTGCAAGGTTTGTCAGTACACTGCTTTCAAGGATTCAAGGAATTCCTTATGTTGGTTACGTTTATCGAAGTTTTTCAGCTGCTTCGTCTACTACGTCCACCACGTATTCCCGATGTAACGGAGCTATCGAGTCAATCGCCTTCAACCTTTGCGAAAGTGACCACTGCAATACCCCAGTATGAGCCCATCGGTCCGAGCCTTCTATCATCAGTAGGTAATTTGCAGTTTGAGGTGCCGCTTCACGATTCCTTTCGGTGCAGCATTTCCGGCGTTTGCTAGCTGCTCAACGAACTGCTAGCGCTTACTTTCCGTCATCCGTTGCAAATATTTCGCTAGTTTCTAAAGAGGAGGAATTCGCCCCACAATTTTCACAGCCCTCCGGTAAATTCACCATACTTCTTGTTGACCCAATGTGGATTCCGTGGCCCGCCTCCACCACATTTGAAGAGCGCAGACTGGTTGCAGAATGTATTTGTCATTCTTTTATTACATACGATCAGGCATTTACAGATATAGTCTGCGGTAGAATCCAGTCCACCTGTGTGTTTGTTTGAGTTATACCTGGGAAGCCTTTAGCGGATGGGAACAATGCAGCTAGAGCTCCAATTTTTCCATGGAAACTAACTGGCAACTTGCCTATAGGGGATCCAGGATATGAAATCACACGTGCGATTGGCAGCCTATTAACATTAGATCTATGCGGGACGGATTTTAGCGCCATAATATGCGCGTCAGTTAGTGGATATTTTGAGCTGCTGTAACTTCAAACACCTTTAATGCCAACATTATTTGGCATCACAAGCTCCCGGGGTAAATTGAACTTTTGAACAGCGTATGCAAGGAACCTGTGTTAACACATGAGTAGAATATGGGGCCGAATTAAGTGGATTGGGAGATGCGGCAGTCATTGTAAACAGAGACCAAAGGGGATACAGTAAGCTGAAACAGGGAACAGATCACCGCATCTGAAGGGAATCAAATAAAACAGCTGCTCACATACGCCACTGCTGCTTTGATAGTAGCTCCCAACTTTCCCAAACGGAGGAGAACGAATGTGGAGAAAGACGCAATGTTATCGTCTCGAAAGTACGGGCAGCCAATCAGCTAGAATTGCTGGCGATTCCTACAGATTTCAGCCACTATCTACAAGTGTTTCCATCCCTGGCTACTCAGCTGCCAAGAAGCAGCATGGCTTATCAGGTTTGTAAATAAGGTTGTAGACTTTTGTGCATGTCAAACGTAGGTCACGATAGGAGCCACTGAATTTGAGCACTGTCAATTTGTTGGTAACCTGTCGTAATTGGATCACGTTTTCAATGTCAACGGTAACTTCCAGTTGTTGGACCTCTTTTACTGTATGATCTCTGTTTAACAGTGAGGTCATCGGCAGGCATACGCACCTGATCAAATGATACACCTATTCCGTATGAATCCTTGTTAGGGAGAAGATGGAGTGTATTTCATGTAGATATGCGTAACAAAATTTACACGATGAATAGCCATTGGAAGGGCATTTGATATGAGACTAGATTTAGTTATAAATTGAGCTCATCGCATTTTAGCTAACTAACTATAACTAATCTTTTCTTCCTTCATTATGGCTTGTCAATTCTCAGTGACCCCTTAGTTTATGTACAGATAACCGCGGGGTAGGTAGATAATAATTTGAGATAAATTATCTCCACCCTGTAGTGTTTAGAAAACCAAATTGGATGATATTTTTCTCAATTACACGATCACGAAGCTACAAATTGGTCCGAGAGCAGGACTATCTGAAAACAAGAAATCACCTAGCTGAAGGTAATAAACATAGAGATGCCCATTGTTAGCAAGATGTCATATTTTGTCCAAATTACTGACTGGTGTGTTTGAGTACATCAAACAACAAGGTTTTTCCATTGGATCACCGATTATCTACTCCGAGAAGTTGGGATGACAGTGCTAAGTGCTTTAGTTGGCTCACAAAAGTTCTAGGACCACATGGGGAAAGATCGAAACAATGCTTCAGAGTAAGAGTGATAAGTTTTTGTCAACTATATTAGAAGCACTAAATTTAACAGCGGTGTTAACATCACTTGAACATTTACCTTGTTGCAGAGTTTCCGTCCGAAATAAGTTGACCACATGCGACTGCCAATCGGGAAAGCCCCTCGTGACCTAAGCTGGATGTCAACGCCGACAGACTGGTATCAGTAGTGGAGGCTGCCTCTAGTAGATTTGCCAAGTTAGTTCCAATCGCAAGACGGCCGTGCACACTCTTGGTCTTCTTCTCAAGCAGTTGATTGCACAAAATAGGAATGCTGCGCACCAAGGGAACGCAAGAAAGCACTAGTTCTAAACATTCAATTGCATCTGATTGCAAAAATTTTGTGCTCGTGTCACCCCCAGCGCGAGCGAGTAGCGCCTGTATGATGCTGTCAATCTGGACTTCCCACAACGAACCATAACAAACCAGCGAAAGGAATTCTCCAAGTAAACGAATGGCAAGCATGGAATTGCGGCTAACCTAGAAAGAAATGTAAGTCAGGCGTAAGCGGTAGGAATTAGCAAAGATGTCCAAGCACATTGCACTACTAACACATACAGCTAGACTATATCCTGCTCAGATGCGGGTTTACTGATGGGGTTTACCTACTCACCTCCTTCCGACGGGGACTGTGATGGCTTAACTGTGGGTAAAATTGTGTCTAATCCAAGATAATACTCTCGAAACAAATCCTCATGAGTTCTATTTTTGGGCTTACCGTACATTGTCGGGAAATGAGTGAGTGAAGCTTGCATACAAAATGGATGTTCACAAAAGTTCCACTTTTTTCTAGCAAATAGATTGATGAGGGGTTGCAGTTATATGGGGGTTTAGTTATTACCTCACATGGAAATAGTCTGAAGCCAAATCAGTGGGCCAAAATAAGGACTACGGTTTACAAGAAGAAATGAATATACAGACAATAGGCACACGAATTTCCATTGGAAAGAAACATATATTCCATAAACATGGTGAAAATAGCAGATGCATTTTTGGTGCTACTAGCCTCGAAAACACCGAACTACACGAATAACTTCAACGTTGTTTTTATCTCATGAGGTCGATAGCGAACGTTGAACCTGGGACCCTCGTAGTGATAGCCGAAATTTCCAACTCTAAGCCACCGAGTCTCAACGGGCGAGACTTGTCACAACGGTTGCTGACTGATTGGAGAGTCTTTATGAGGCACTCAAACTGTGATCGGATTACGACGCGCAATCTCAATGTACACCGTTGTTCGCACTGAGACGCACCTTGGCCAATTCGTTCAGTAAGGTCGAAAATGAAGTGGATGAATATTGTGAAAACCTCGCCCACCGGGGCCCGGTGGCTTAAGGGTAGATGTTTCGGCTCACATTCTACAGCTCCCGGGTTGAATGCCTAACACTTCTACCTGAGAAGATCAAATGAGATCGAAACTGGTAGTAGTCCTACAGTGTTGCAAGGTGGGTTACATCCAATATTCATATTTTTCAACTGCAATATAGTTGATTGAATTGAGTAGAGTTCAGTTCAATACGAATGGCTGTCCGTACTGAGATTGCGCATGGCAACTAATTCACACAACTATTGCTTAAAAATAACTCTTCCACTCAGTCATTAACCGTTGCGAAATGCTTCGGCAGTCGTTACTCAGCGGCAATGTGGGCAGCGGTTTTGGTTAACGCTCCAAATATCCCGGTTTAATGCCTACAATTTTAAGTTGAAATGTGTCGAATCTTACTACGCATATTTAATTTAAACATCGTGTTTACCATAATGCATCCAACCCTTCAATGCATTATGTAACGCGTCTATTATTCTAAAAAGACCGATCAGGTGATGGATTAAAAACTAAAGTTTAATACCCCTACAAAATAAAATAATTGCTTCTTGGTCTATTCTCTATAGGTTAATGGGAAACGGTTTAAAATCCACCTAATTTGTTGCTTTGTTAAAGACTCATGACAATCTCGATTCTTTCGCTGCGTTTTTAAATGCTAACCGAATTCCTTCTCTTATGACTTTAATGCGTCAGTTTACGTTCAGTAAACATTTTAAGCGCTGAAAATTTTCGAACAGATGTGAGTTGAAATTAAATTTTCGTAGCTAAAACATCTCAGAAACAAGATAATAAGAATGTATGTCAACCATCTGCCAACTTAAGTGGACAGCTACACTGGCTGATGTTGTTCTTTGGTTTGAAAAGATGGTGAAAAATTAATTTCGGATGCATGGGGATGTGGTTGAACATTAGGGGATCGAAACGAAACATAAGTCCGACCACCAGTTCAACATATGCACTTTTCCTTTTATGGGTTAGACTAACAGAACCGGAAAGATTATGTCATTTCTTTATCCACACTAGAGCAAACATCACCTTTGTATAACGAAGGAAAGAGATATTTGGGTACTATATTTGGCAGCAGGGTAAGCGGAAACATCCAGCTGTTGTGCGCGGTAAATCCACACCATCAGTGCATTACCAGCAGGAACTTGCAAGGGCAAATACTTTTGCAAAATGAAAGTACAGAAAGATTGTCGCGCCAGCTGGCTAGAGTTTCTTACAGCCGTAGTCTTGACGAGCGCAACACTATAAGATATACACAGAACCACAGCCAACAGGTTGAGCGGAGATGCACAGTGAGAATGCAGCCATTAGAAAAGGTTATATTAGGCTGCCATTAGGGGAGATTAAGCTATGCCGAAGACGGTTAAGTTTATGTTCTCTTAATTAAAGATACAGTATTTTTCTGCTTAAGTTTTCATCAACTATCTTTGAAGTATACCGTCACACCCAGACGAAGGAAGTTCAGCCAAGCAGCTCTAAATCACTGTTATTAGCAATTGGTTCGTGATTGACGACCCAGCCATATCAGCCGAACCAATGTGACTATGGCTTTCGGAATAAATAAATGTGTACCGGGATGGATGAAAGGTAAACTACCCAGCGGCCATGATACTTTTAAAATGTCTACCGATATAGGCAATTGCATTTTTTGATTGTCAAACGTTTACTGGCCACGGAACACCATGCACTGTCCAGCTCGGCATTCAAGTGTGCGTTGTGTCCTAGTGAGCTGCGTCTCTTTTGCCCTCTTGAAACTGCCTCAATAAGTGTTACTGAGTCTTAGACTATCATAGAGAAAGTTTCATCAATCACCTGATGACTCCAAGTTGCTTCTAGGTATGAACTACTGAATTCGTAGATATTCACGCTTTGAAAACTCCCATATTAGCACGTTTGACGTAGAGCCGTTAGAAAGTTCTCATTCTCTAGTGTTCTTTCGAGTACTAATATATGGCGCGTTTGTAATTTTCAGGTTAGATGAAATAACTGGTATCAAACACTTGACGTAAAAATCCTCGGCTACCACCACTAACCCTTCAAACCCGAGCCAAACTGGCGGCACTCGTTAAGAAGGCCAGGAACACGCTGTTGCGGGTTCTGTAATACAGTCCTAGTAAATTGATAGCGTGAAGTAAGCACATCTGAGACCGAAATTCGCAATTAGTTGGATTTCGGTCAGTTTTATCACTGGGATCTTGCTCAAAAATCTTGTGGATTTGCTTTGAGCCTATCCATCAGGCGGAAATTCAATGGTGTTCACTAAAATCAATGAGACTTAATATTGCGCTGACCCTCCAAGAGTGAAAGTGCGTCGCTCGTTAAACTACTCCTCTATTATTGGGTTGAGAAGGTGGCGTCCCACAGGTCCTCCAATGGTCCATTCCATGTATACGACCTTCTTTAAACAAATTATTGATTATCTGGTTGTCGCAAGAGGTAATCAACGCAGCCCTGTCTACTGCATAGATAAAGATATTTAAGTTAGATGCTACTGTGCAGGCCTTTCAATATTCTTATTTTATCCTCACGCCTTCTCATTTTTACCGCCAAGTTCCAACTTCTCTTCCATTAGTTTGTTTTCAGTCCTTAATTCATGGCCATCCCGGATCCTGCTTCAATATTTCCTCGTCTTCGAATTTCTTCTCACGTGAAATCACAGGGCATCGCCCCAGCTTATGCGACAAGCTCAGGTTTAATAAGGTGGACAAAGACAGTTTATCCGTTTCCACTAAGTACTTCTGCTAAAAGGTGATGCTGCTATTCGTCAGTGTGCGTAAATGTTTGCAGATCGATCATAAGGTGGCGCTTGTCTGAAGGTTGAGAAACTCTCGGTCGATATCTGATGCTTCTCGAGATCCTACCCGCAAGATTTGATTTAGGTGTTAACACTGTCATCCTCTAATTATGACACTATTAATCCATGCTCACGGCTTCAGTCCGGAGATGAGACAGACACAAATACTGCTCAAGCGGATGCACGGATTGATCTGAGCTCCGGGATTGAAGTTGCCCTGATCGACTGGAGTCCAATCAACGACCGTACATGCGCCACCAGATATCTGATTCCTTCGAAGCTTCCAATTCGTGCGGCGCCAATAATCAGTGCTTGGCTGCCACAAACTGCAGCGTTGATTTGGTGAAATACACATTCAATCAATTGAAAGAGTTATTTTGCCGCCAAAATCCTACGGGCGCTGATTTGCAGGATGGTAGTCTGAACACAAGTTGGGAAATGCTTAGGTATGGGCTTCATCTGGGAAGCCAACAAAGTGTAGGATCCAGTTGTGATAGGGATGAGTGTTTGTTGTGTCTGTGTAAAATACTCCCTTATAAATCGCGAGCACTAACGTCTGACACAACACCCGCAGGTGAGTGATATGGAGCGCACCAGCGCAGACTTACCATGCCTTCTATCCGATCACGTCCTGATCTGTTAGCACTGGAGGAGTTGCGTCTAAAGTTGTTGCTTTATTTAAAGCCTAAGCTTGGGCTCCATCCTTGTGATTGCGTGTGAGGTTCGGCGCACGTGCACAGCGATGCTGTCGTTGTATAGACACTTGCCCTCTGGTAAAGCTAGATGTTCTGCATGATTAGCAAAGTGCGCTGCTATTCAAACAGAGTGCGCCCTCAACACGTTTGACGGCCAGCGGTCACATGTCCACCAGAGGTTATTAGTAACAGATTTGCTCCGTTTGGAAAATCGGATTGTCTACTGCAAATTGTGTCACTACTCAGTCTCTAGAAAAGCTGAATACTCGCCAACATATTAATGCTGGAAGAGAACACGGGGAGACCCGCAAAAGTGAGTGCCAGCCTAAGAGAAGAGGGTGAAAACTGATGGTCTCATGGAGCATCAGAAATGGGAAAAGCCACTGCCCTTGATAACATCGAAAGTTATTCGGGTTTATACGAGGAACGAGCACCATGAGGATTACAGTGAAGCGCCTATCCAACGCCCGGAAAAAGACTTAAAGCTTTGTGCAGATCACTTTGCAATTCAATTAAATGGGAGGGAATTACCAGCAACTCTGCCGGACAGAGATCGCGGCGCTCCGTAGGCCGTCCTTTTGGATCCACCTTGCCTAGCAAAATTTGTATGTGAGATGGGACTGCGAAGTTGTATAGGACCGTAAGACGAAATTCGCTTTCT